TGCTTGATGGCACTCGCATATTTTGCAAAGACACATTCTGCTTGACTGGCATGAACATTAGAGCTCAAAAATCTTGGTCAAATCATCCTTTAGCCCAATGGATTAAAAAGATGCACCACTCTTATGTACATAAGAGCAGCCATACTGGGTCCGACCAATGGTCCATCTAGCTCAGTATCCAATCTTTTGACAGAAGCCAGTGCCAGATGCTTCAGAGGGAAAGAACAAGGCAGTGTTTAGGCCCAGCTTCTTGCAGTTAGAGGTTTAGAGACCCACCAGAGCATGGGGTTACATTCCCTGACCATCTTCGCTAATAGCCAGATAGACCAATCCTCCATTAACTTATCAAATTCTTTTTTGAACCCAGTTATACTTCTGGCCTTCACAGAATCCCCTAACAATGAGTTCCACGGGTAGACTGTGCATTATGTGAAGAAGTACTTCCTTTTGTACTTTTTTAAACTTGCTGCCTATTAATTTCATTAGGTGACCCCTGGTTTGTGTGTTATGTGAAGGGGTAAATAATACTTTCCTATTCACTTTCTTGATACGGTTCATGATTTTATAGATATCTATCAAATCCCTCTAGACTGAATAATCCCAGTCTTTTTATCTCTCCTCATATGGAAGCTGTTCCAAACCACTAATCATTTTTGTTGCCCTTCTCTGTACTTTTTCCAATTCTAATATATCTTTTTTGAGATGGGGCAACCACAACTGCATGCAGTATTCAAGGTGTGGGTGGGAGTTATACAGTGGCATTTTTCTGTTTCGTTATATATCCCATTCTGAATAGTTCCCAACATAGGTAGTTTTTTTTTGACTGCTGCTGCACATTGAGCAGATGTTTTCAGGGAACTATCCACAGTAACTCCAAGATCTCTTTCTTGAGTGGTAACAGCTAATTTAGAGCCCCATCATTTTATATGTATAGTTGGAATTATATTTTCCAATGTGCATTACTTTAATTTATCAACACTCAATTTCATATATCATTTTGTTGCCCAGTCACCCAGTTTTGTGAGATTCCTTTGCAACTCTTCACAGTCAGTTTTGGATTTAACTATTTTGTATCATCTGCAAATTTTGCCACCTCACCCTTCACCTCCTTTGCCATATAATTTATAAATATGTTAAACAGAACAGGTTCCAGTACAGATCCTTAGGGAACCCTGCTATTTACCTCTCTCCATTGCAAAAGCTGACCATTTAGTCCTACCCTTTGTTTCCTATCTTTTAATCAGATACTGATCCATGAAGGATCTTCCTTCTTATCCCATGACTACGTACTTTGCTTATCAGCCTTTGATGAGGGACCTTGTCAAAGACTTTCTGAAAGTCCAAGTACACTGTATCCACTGGATTACCCTTGTCCACACACTTGTTGACTCCCTCAAAGTATTCTAACAGATTGGTGAGGCATGATTTCCCTTCATAAAAGCTGTAATACCCAGAATAAGCATCACAATGTGTCACACCATGCAGCGCACTACACAGCTTGCCCTGCTTTTCAAAGTGAATCATGCATAATCAAAGATTAATAGGTGCTAGATTTCATAAACTCTATTTATTATGTAGGTTGAAACCCATGGGGATAGAACTGATGAAAATTAAACTACTCTTAATAAGCACCTTCAATGGGATGAAACCACACTTCTGGGGGTGAAGGGTATAATATTAATTGTCTCTAAGTTCTACATTACTATGTAGTTTCTTGAAATAAAAAAATAGTACACTGTTCATATGTTCAAACTACATGATTTTTATATTTTTGGTTATTTCAGTGTTCTATAAGTATTCCAAAGCCTTACCTTTGAAGAGCCATTTGAATACATTTGTATCATATTCTCTGCTCCTTGCTTTACCTTCAGTTCTATATCCAATTGCTTTTTTAAGACCATCAATCTGTTGTTAGTAGAAAAACGAGGGTCACTGTTTGGAGTATCTGGTGTTCTGGGACACTCTGTGAATTAAATACAAGATGTAATTTTCATAACGAGTCAATAAAGCTTTTCTAATATACTTCAAACAATGTTTAACAAAGAGAAAGCTTTGTATTTAAATATTAAAACTGTGCAGAGATATTTTGAGACAATATTGCAAATATGCTTTAGTGTGAAAAACGCAGTGAAAGCCCAGTGATTCCTGCACATGGGCTAACACACATGAATCACTGACTGGGGTGGTAAAAGGCTCCCGGCTTTGTTTATCTGTCCCCATGGAGAATGTGTCTTTTCTAAGATGTCTAAAGTTTAAGTGCAAAGTGTAGTTTACCATTAAGCCTTCCCAAACTCTCCAACCCAACTTAAACTAGAAAAAGAAGAAAGATGACCATATTCAATGGTGATTGGTAAGGTCTACAAACAGATACATTAAATACATTATATCTAACATTATTTCAATCATTAGAGACATGCCATATGCAGTTTACAGCAAGATGAAGGAACTGATAACATGAACTCTTCCTTACAGTATGTATATACCGTGCTGATTGCTGATTCAGGGGAACTAATGGAATCACAGGTATCTGGATAATTAACTGAGCAGCCAGATTACTGAAAAATTATAATTTGGGAATGGAGAATGATACATTCTTGCTTGGGAATGTTATTTTAGATCCCTATTCCTTTTTTTAACAGAATTTGCTGCAGCTTTTACCAACCAAGTTATACTGTCATCAACAAGTTCCATGACTTGTCATCTACTTCCTCCTCTAGATAAGAAGTATGTTAGTCACTTGTCCAAATTCCATCTCCTGGAGCATAAACTACTAATTTCTCTCCATTCTAAGAATCAGAGTTCACTGGATTATTTCCTATTGCTTAACCAGTTTTAATCCCCAGTAAGATTTTGTCCTTTAACCTGTGGCTAATAGGGACCCTAACCAAAGCTTTCTGAAAAGCCAAGTAAATTGCGTCCACCACATCATCTAAATTATTTTCTGCTTAAAAGAAATAAAATAGAGAGGCACTATACTAGAGAAGCCATCCCGGTTTGTCCCTAGAAGGTTATACTTAACGGAGTATTGGGATATTCTATTCTTACGTAAATTTTCAATTACTTTCCTTGGAACTAAAATGAGGCTCGCTGTTCAACTTCCTGAGAACTTCTTGTTTTAATAATTTATTTATATACACACACAGAAAAAGAAAGAGGCACTACATTAGCAACTTCCCAATTCCAAATGCCATTTACTTTTTAGCATCTGCTATTTCACATTACTTCTGCAGAACTGTCTGATAAGTAGCATATATAGTAGTTTTGGAGATTTAATGCATTTGCTTATAAGTCTACTGTATAATTTTTCTCTTCCAGACTTCAATCTCTGTCAAGGCTGCTCTCAGATTTCCCATAACAACTGCTTTTGGTGCAGCAATTTTCTCAATTGTCTTCTGCACCACACTTTCCTCATTCAGGTGCCTTCTAAAGTCTTACTTCATCCTTTCTGCCCAAAAGCTCAGGTTAATAAAAACAATGTTGTAACAACATTTTTAAAACCACCAAAGTTATTCCTTCTGGGTTTCCCAGGACATCCTGTCTTCTGGGTCTTAGCCCCGGCCTAAGTGTAGAATTGCATTGGTATAATTTAAGTTTCTTTAAACTGTCTTTGTTAAACCAGTTCCAGAGGCTGGTTGGAAACTATTTCTGTTTAAATAGTCTTATTTCAGCTTAGTTTAAGATGACGGAAACTGGTTTAAGATAAACCTATCCCACATGCTTCCATGTTCCCTCTCCCCCCCCTTTTTTTTTTGGTCATTCCATTCAGCTAATCCTCACCTACCAATTTTCCCACTCAAAAATGTAAACAAAACCAATGTCATAATTATCATAACCTGTGCAAGCCATCACATCATCTACTCTACTTGCATATTATTTACACAGAATAATTACCAGTTACTCAATTAGCTCAAGTGGTAAAGTCTCCAACCTTTCTGATGACCCATGTGGAGCCATTATAGTTGCATATGATTAAGTTTGTTTTTACAGTTGCTTTTTAAAACACACATACTTAGGAAATTATGGAACCCTTCCCCTACATTAAAAGCACATTACGGTTCCAGAGTAAAACACTCAAACGTTAAGAAATATCAGATTTAAGGTTACTTGTGCAACTGTAATTCAGTCACCTTGTGCATATGCATAATAATAGTTTTTAACAACATGATTCCTCCATCAGGTAGAACCAAAGTGACCCTTACATGGGTCATCAGCAGGGTTGGGACCTTTAGGGCCACAACACAACACTTTATTTGAGCTTACTGAGTAACTTGTAGCAATAGTAGGCTGTTATCTTCAATGTGGATCAACTACCAGAGGAGAAAAAAAATCCATTTTGCTAGTGATTTTCAAGCTGTATACTAGACAGCAAAGAATGTTGAGACTCCAGAATCTTACATTCATTACCAGGTTTTAGAGGGGAGAGTTCTCTAATGGTTATAGACTTCTGCGCTTGTGCTCCTATTTTCCCAGTCACTCTCCTCTTTCCCAACTCATATTCCACTACCCTACCTAGCTCCTATTGTCCCCTGCCTAATCCTTCCCCGACTCCTTTGCATTTAAGTCAGGTTGCTTCCTCCTTGATGCCTGATTGCTAGCAGAGAGTCACTGGGAGCCCCCGCCTGATATCACATTGAAAACCACTGCTCTAGGGGCCAAACTTTTTTTCTGGAGACCCAGTTGAAGAAAATTGTTGATGCCTGTGACTCAACGGAGCTGGAGATGATGGGTTTGGGGTGTGGGAGGGGCTCAGGACTAGGACAGAGTTGGGGTGCAGGGGTGAGGGCTGTGAGGTGGGGCCGGGAATTAGGAGTTCAGGGTGTGGGAGGGGGCTCTGGGCTGGGGCAGAGAGTTGGGGTGCAGGACGGGGTCAGGGCTCTGGGCTGGGGATGAGGGGTTTGGGGCACAGGCTTACCTCGGGTGGCTCCCAGTCAGCAGCACAGCAGGGGTTCAGAGGCAGGCGCTGCGCCCCAGAAGCGGCCAGCAGCAGGTCTGGTTCCTAGGTGGAGGTGTGCAAGCGGCTCTGCGCGGCTCTTGCCCGCAGGCACCTCCCCCTCCCCCAGCTCCTGTGCTCAGGGCGGGGGCAGTGCGCAGACCCCGTGGGCCCCCCACCTAGGAGCCAGACCTTCTGCTGGCCGCTTCTGGGGCACAGCGTGGTATCAGAACAGGTAGGGACTAGCCTGCCTTCGCCGGGCAGCACCACTGACGGAACTTTTAACGGCCCGGTCGGCGGTGCTAACCAGAGCCACTGCGACCCAATGCCTTCCATTCCGCGACCCAATTCTGGGTTGTGACCCACAGTTTGAAAACCACTAATCTAGAGGAACAAAAGCAGGAAAATTTCTGCTTAGCCCCTGCAGGACAGAGCACATTCAGTTGCTCTATGGGGATGGAGCATGCTCAGTGAAGACAATCCTCAGAGAACATACTGCCAGGAGTGCTGGAACAATTTGTATAGTGGGGGAGCTGACAGCAACTATACCAAACTCTAAACCCTCTATATGATGGAAACCACTTCAAGCCAGGGGGTGCATCAGCACTCCTAGGACTCCATGGTCCTATGCATACTGCCTGCCTCCAACAGACCTTTACTGTGTATGTCTGAACTATAATTTTTCAGAAACTGACAACTTAACCAACCCAAATTTGGCTTTCATAGCAGAAGGCAAAAGGCACATCTCTAACACCAAGGCAAATGCCCTTGTAAATTCTGAGTCACTGCTGCCAAGCATGGAGGCATTAGATCTTCTCAAGGAAATGGCTGTTGGAATTTAACAAGAGCAAAACAATGTATTTTTGAAAATACAATAGAAACCAATAGAACCATTTTTTGCTGAAATTCTTCCCCTCCCCCACCTCCAATAAAAAAAGAAGGAAACACCCTGAAGCAGGCATCTAGCATAGAAAATTTCAGGTGAATGGTTAAAGTTTTAAGCAACTGAAAACAGGATCTTATAGTTGAAAGTGTTGGGCAACCTTAACTATAGGCAGCACGACCAGCAATGCCTTTAATGTCCCTTCTCTCTGTATTGTCTGTTTAGGTTGTAAGTATTTTGGGGCAGGAGTTGTCTCTCATTCTATATTTGTACAGTACCTAGTACAATGTGGCTCCAGTCTCAATTGGGGCCAGTTAAGCACTACCATAACACAAAACAAGAGTAATAAATTAATCCAGGTCATTTAAGCTTAAAATTAAACATGATCTTAAGTACTTTGCTAAACTGGTACAAAAAGTATTTTTCAGGTGGAAGAGGTATGTGTGAATAAAAGGTTCTCCAATTATTTAGCCACATTTGCTTGCACAATAATGAAAATGCAGGATTTAATTTGTATACTGCATCCTTTAATTTTTATACTAATGAAGCCCATAATCTTACAGCAGATGGGGAGAGTTTTACTGTACTGTGGATTAACAGCCTTTCACCTACTGATGCCTAGATGAAGTTAGTTTATGTAATGAATGAAGTAGTTTGGCTTTCAATACAGATTTTAGTGGATGTCTATCTGGTTCCCATAACTAGCATGATAATTTTTGCTCAGACTAGAAAACACAAGTGTTTTTGGTTAAAACTAGTGGGTACTGGCAGGGTTGAGTGGCAACACTTACATCAGTTGCTTGCACTACATAATACTTTTTTTAACAGTTTCAGTCTTTTGCTTTTGTGAGAGAGACTAATTCACCAAATTCACAAAACAAGTGAAAGAAAATATTTTAACTCACTGATGACCCATTTCTCACATTTTTAAACAAGACAGGGTTAAATTTGAATCATGGTAATTTTCAGTTTGAAATGTTTCTGTTCATAATATATGACCATGACCTTTATTTTTTATTCTTTGGACTTTTTTTGGGGGGGGGGGGTAAAGTCTCTTCAGCTTGATTTGTACAGTACTTATTAGCAAACATGGTTTTTGCTTCTAAATCCTCACTTTGATGAACACTGCCACCCAAATTGCAGTCATTAG